AAATCTCCAATTTGATGAGAGTACTGGGAAATGAAGCGGTGCAAGACCCAACCAAAGTAGAAGCTCATGTGAGGGCACAAATGGCACAAAGACAAAAGTAAGTGATATGTGAGAAGACTGCAGGTAAATATAGGTATATATAGGTAAAACGGTTGACAGAAGAAGGGGTCAATCATGAGCAATAACTTCTTGCTGAATGTCGTGGATAATATTGAAATGCGTGCAAAATTCAGTTGCAAAATTCCTGCTTGGTTTTATTATATGATTGCACAAGTGGAAAACAACGTCCTTGAGCCGTTTGAGTGGTGGTCGATGCATCCACTCTTAGGAGAGAAATTGGCCCATGGCAAACCTTCCTCTGTAATTGGCTGTCTACAATGGAATCGAATAGAAACATTGCTTGACTAAGCATATGCATGTAAGGTGTCTAGGTGTCTAGGTTTTGTCATCATCGTCCACCAAAACCCAGAAAATAATTGCTTAGGTGACATTGAGCTCACGCTTGCCACACACGTTAAACATTACTGACGTCTGAAGGCGTTTATTACTTAACATTTTCGGGGGGGTCTATTTTACAGGGCTCATGAAGCTGCTAATGCTGCCAGAAAACTAACTCCTGAAGCTCGTCGTGAGAAGACAATCCGTAAACTGAAGGAGGACACTTCCCTTGGTGTACATGTAGCAGTGTTCAGAGTAAAAGAACTAAAAAACCCTCAGAAAAAATATAAAGTGGATATCAATGCACAGCAGCTTTACTTAACAGGTATGCGCTGTTAGTTTAGTGTAACGAATTTCAGACATGCCAGTAATAACCATCCCCACCTCTATCTTCTATCAACATCGCGGTTTTTCAAGTGGTAAAGTTTTGTTTCTTATAATGGGAACAATCAAGGTTTTTTTGAGGGCGGAGTCTGGTTGTTTTTAATACGTTTACATGTAGAAATGTCCGAACACTATATTCAGTATTTTTTGTGTGTGTTTATTTGACTTCTTCTTCTTCACATCAGTGTACAAAACACACAAACTTATTTCTTGAGAATTAAAAGAATGAGTAATTACTTTCCTCACGCAGGAGCTCGAAGGAAATAATTATTCTACACCCCGGATGTACCATAGGATTTACCCTCCTTATTCGTTTTGAAATGTGAGAGCGGACAGCGCAATGAGTTGCGCTCTCAGAAATGACAAAAACAGACCATCACTTTGCGGACAGTTTATCGCTGGACCTCACGAAAGCACTGCCCCTTGATCCGGTACTCTTTTTATGAATTAATTTTTAATTTGAAATGCCTTTTTCCCGTAAAGGTTGTGCTGTTCTATACAAAGATGTTAATATCGTGGTAGTGGAAGGAGGCCCAAAGTCAGTCAAGAAATTCAAGCGTTTAATGCTGCATCGCATCAAATGGGAAGATGAAAAAGATTCTGATGATGATGACGAGGAGGATGAGGCTGCTGCCAGCAAAAAGACAGCGCCGTGTGTGTTAGTTTGGGAGGTAAATGAAATTTAAAATGGGTGAAATTTTGACACCACTGATCAGTTTTCTTCTATCTCTTAAAGACTTCTTTTGCAATGTTGTAGCAACTGGACAAGGGATTCGATTTGTACAGAAAATTATACATCACGACTTGCCATAAATCTTCTATGAAACCCCCCCTTCTCAAATAAGCTTCCTCCCTCTATAACCCCCCCCCCCCCCCCCCC